TATATATATATATAGGGTGTAAAAAAAATTAGACCGACAAACTTCAAGGGGAAATAGAGGACATAAAAACAAACATATTTTGTTAATAATGTTTTTCTCTACGATGCTTCGTTTTAATACTACAGGGTACAAAATAGGAATTTTATGATTTTAATAAAAAACAAACATATAAGTGGAAAAATTAAATTTATTCCAATTACACATATATATTTTAATCTTCAAAAAACAATGAACAAAAGATTTATCTTCGCTTGACTTTTTTTTATGGGGGCATATGAAAACTCATTTATGAGATACCTATTAAAACAGAAGCAGAATTGGTAGCCCGAATTATTGCTGCAGCATATCAGGTTCAGAATATTCCTGCAGTCTTCGAGCGCGTGAGACAATTAATGTTTCGACGATGTCATCTTTGTGTTGAAGGAAATGGAGGAATTTTTGAACATTTATTATAAATTGAGTTAATCAGTTGCGCATTTTTGTTCCGTTCTTTTGTTCATTGTTTTTTGAAGATTAAAATATATATGTGTAATTGAAATAAATGTAATTTTTCCACTTATATGTTTGTTTTTTATTAAAATCATAAAATTCCTATTTTGTACCCTGTAGTTAAAACGAAGCATCGTAGAGAAAAATATTATTAACAAAATATATTTGTTTTTATGTCCTCTATTTCCACTCGAAGTTTATCGGTCTAATTTTTTTACACCCTGTATATATATATATATATATATATATATATATATATATATATATATACACACACATACATACATACAGGGTGATCGGAAACAATCGCATTCGGTTAATATTATTGTATTTTTGAGCCAATTCTAAGGCTATTTTTCCTCTTACAAAATGTTATCCGAGTTGCTGAACTATAAAGATAAATAGTTGGCCTCTCACAGGCCAAATACGGAAAGTAGGCAAAGGCAGTACAATTCACAGTCAGATGTTGAGTAATACTCATGTGACAATATTCATACATCTTAGCTTGAAAACTTTCAATGTCAATGTGATTGTGCACAATAGTAAATAAATTATTTTAATTTAGTTGGATATAATTATAACATAACGTGTAAGGATAAAATAATCGATTGCGTTTGCAATACGAACTCGTCAATTTTCTCAAATGTTAGAATATCTTATGCTTCGTACGATTAATGTATGCTTCGTTCTTCTCTTGTTTATTTTTAAAGTTCGTACATGTAAAATTTATATTGCACTTAAGACAAGTTTGCGTCCACGAACGCAATCGACTATTTCATCTTTACACGTTATATAATAATCATATTCAACTAACAAGGAGATGCCACAACCTGCTAAATCGATTTCTGAACAAGTCATAGCACGTGCACTAGCTGTGATGTTGAACATCAATATCCTAACGGGGTTTGTGCCAATGGGTCTTTGTTTGTGAGAAATTACAGTATAAAGTTTGGATCACGGGATTGTATCCCACATATAGCTAAAGTTGCAGCTATATTTCAGGAAGGTGGCGTGGCTGAGCAGACTGAGGTTCCCACATCAAACATTTTTAAGCCAGCAGCGATCGTTCGAATCCCGGCGACGAGTTGTCTGTGTGCGGTATTTTTTTTCTTATTTGTTTTGCATGTCTTTCGTTTTTATGCTATTAACCAGGGGTAATTAGGGAAGTATCAAGCTTTAACGCAAACACGAATATAGACACATAATTTGCATTGCTTGCAATGAAATATATTTTTAGTATATATGAAAATATTATTGGTGCTGATGATAAATAGGAAGAAAGATTGTATGTGCATCGCATTACCTCGAATGTCAAAATATATACTTTTATCACTTGTAAATAAATCAGGATAGTTGTACATTCTCGTTATCATACTTTTAACCTGCCTATAAAAAACATTGCACGGCAGGTAGATTGCTGTACATTTCAGCGATATTATTTGCAAGTTATATGTTGACTTATATTTTGCAAGCATTTGTATATGGTTTATTGTTGTTTCTCATCTAATTATCCCTGATTAATAGCATAAAAACGAAAGACATATGCAAAACAAATGTATTATATTCGAAAAACATTAATTATATGCCCTAAAGTAAGAAAAAAAAACCGCACACGACCGAACGCTCGCTGCCGACTCAAAAACGTTCGACGTGGGACCTCAGTCTGCTCAACCACGTCGCCTTGCTGAAGGAAAGTCGCAACTTTAGCCATATGTATGATACAGTCCCGCGACCAAAACTTTCTACTGTAATTTCTCACACAAACAAAGGCCCATTGGCACAAATCCCGTTAGGATGTTGATACTTAACATCGCAGCTAGCAAACGTGCTGTGACTCGTTCAAAAATCGATTTAGCACAACTATTGTGCACAATTACATTGACATTGAAAGTTTCCAAGCTAAAATGTATGAACATGTCTATTGCCTAACGTCTGTGTCTAATGGTGAATTGTGCTGTCCTTGCCTACTTTCCGTATCTAGTGAAAGGCTAACTATTTATCTTTATAACTCAGCAACTAAGCCTCGGATAACATTTTAGGTGAAAAAGGAAAAATAATCTTAAAATTCGCTCAAAAATACGATAATATTAATCGAATATGATTGTTTCCGATCACTCTGTGTGTGTGTGTGTGTGTATGTGTACGTGTGCGTGTGTAACCTTAATCTGTATCTACAGGAGCAGGCAAATCTCGAGATCAAACTTTGGAGGAGATGAAAGAGAGCCATCACAGATGGATAACCGACGCCGCTTTACGATTATTATGTGTATTGGGTCTTGATCGGTTTGGAGATTTCGTTTCCGATCAGGTCATCGCGCCCGTGCGAGAAACGTGCGCGCAAGCATTAGGATCGCTTCTGATGTTAGTGCCCACCCAGTCGCAAGTTGATGGTACAAATAATGTCTTTCAAGGGTTACTTTCAGTAATGATGAAGTTACTAGAACACTATGAATGGGAGGCCAGGCATGGTGCTCTTCTCGCGCTGAAGTATCTACTTGCTATACGGAACGACTTATTAGACGAAGTGCTGCCCAAGGTATTTCCTTCCGTTATACAAGGACTGGCTGACCCTGTAGATGATGTTGGTGCAGCTGCCGCAAGTGCACTTATACCGGTAGCGTCGGCGCTTCCGCGATTATTCAAACCGTCGGAACTTGAAGCGATCGTGACACGCCTCTGGCGATTATTGAAGGAACAGGATGACTTAGCAGCTGCTTGCAATAGTTTTATGGGTCTGTTGGCAGCGATACTCTCGTTACCCACCGCACAAGCTTGTTTGCGGCCTCAACCGTTATCACAGGTAATATGGTGGATTCTTTTATTCGAAAGATATTTTACACTTATCTACACATATAAACTACTACATGCACGACTATAAACGCATGTGCAGTACATTTCTCGAACAACACGCGAGAATCAGTGACTGCACGATCGCCTAGAATCGACTTAGTAACATTTATACGCACACATATACATGCACATAAATACCTTAGAATCTGTATTTACATGACTAGTATAAAACAATTTAATCACTCTCAATATTGTAATTACTAGTATTACATGTTGTATAGCATAGTTATATAATTAATTGTATAACACGTGTAACATTAATAATTATAATATTAGGAATTATTCAATCAATTTTATGTAAACTGTTCATGTATTGATTTTCATTAATTTTATGTAAGCTGTTTATGTAAATTTAGACTATAAGGGTTATTAAAAATTTTAAATTGCTATACAAATGTAGTCAGTTTTATAATTGGTAAAACGAAAAACAGAAACAGCTATAGTCAATATTATGTTAATTATAGAAAAACTAGAATAGCATAACAGAAACTGTTACATATAGAGAACTAGAATTAATTTGTGCTTTTTTTAGGTTAGAGCTGCGTCTTTCGTGGTTTTGTTTCTGGCAAGAGAAATAACCTGAAATTGTTTCTAAATAAAAAGTAAAATTTCAGATCTTTCCTTTCCCTGAGAAAGTGAACTGGGATGTTCACGAAACGTCGGAAATAAATCCATGAAGGACGCAGCATCAATTCGGACATTAAATATTAGAATTAACTTGTTAACAGTTTAAATATTTACACTAACAACCGCAACTGGTTATCTTTCTCTCACTTGGTAGAATTAACTTATGTTTAATCTCTAATTGAATATCGTATGTTCAGGTATTACCACGTTTATGGCCATTTCTCAGTCATCCGAGTTCGAGTGTACGCAAGGCCACGCTACAAACAATGCAAACACTCACCGGCGACGATCGCAACAGAAACAAAAAGGAACGATGGGGGGAGCACGGTGCGATAGGACTTCAGGAAGCGTTGCGACATGTGTATCAGTGCGTGTTGATCGAGCATATTCCTGCGATACAGGACGTAGCGGAGCGCGTTTGGGAAAATCTAGTCGTAAATAGTGATCTCGAATTATTGCTGCACGCGGCGTGCCCTCTCGTCAGTACGTGGCTTTGCCTTGCTATGCAGCCGGAATATGTGCCGTTCAACCCGAGCCTGTTGGTAACGGTCACTAGTAGTGTTAAAAACACGAAATATAATCAAACGGTCACTTACTCCGATGGCCAGTCTGACTCGAACGACAACAGTAGTAACACCAACGTGAACACGAAGCCATTATCCGAGCTAAAGATATACATCGGAGGGATCGAGACAGTAGCACCGAACGTGCGAAAGGCAAACGTCGTACAGGCTCGTTGTAGGGCATCTCGTATGCTAGGATTGTTATCTTACTACATAGTGCAACCCGCGCCGGGTGTGATTTATACGCCAGATGTAACTAGTCCTACAGTTTGTTATGCCAATGTATTATTGGCTTATCTCAATTCAAGATCAGCGTTACAACGTACTATCGCAGGACTCACCATGTCATACTGGGCGAACGTAGATCCTCTGCAACAGCCCATGATACCAGACATACTCAGGTATGATAAAATATACGTGTATACTCAATGTCTGAATTTAAATATAACATTTGCCGTGTGCAGATGCAGCGTATCAAACTGAATAGAAAAATTCTATATCATTTTTTATATAACGCTTTTATTGTAAAGATATTTATTGAAGAAAATTGGCCAATATGAGTGCACAGTGATACGATGGAACAAGTTCTGTAGAATAGTCTAAAAAGACATTCGCCATATTTATTATCCTGTAATAACAATGAATATCGACTGCCAACAAAAAACAAAATAACATTGCAATTGCAGTGAGCACTTCAACATCACATGCATGATGCTAAACTGCACGTCTATATTCGTTATCATATCGAAACGAGCTCAAAACATATCTCTTCAGACATATTTCTAAAAAAAAAAAAAAAAAAAACTGGTTCTACCATATTGTGTGTACTTACTCTCGCCAATTCAGTTTAATATTTTAATAAGATAGATATGAAACATTGTTACATCTACACTTCAGTTAAAGTATAAGTTATACTTGCACCCAATAAGGATTGTATTTCAGATAACCTGCATATCGGCTTCGACGCTAACGAGAAATGTTTCTTGTTCAAGGGAAAGACTGTTGGGCTGTTTGAACGAGTGCGTGTACTACGACGAAATTGCGAATGCCTTTACTCGTTTGTTACACGAAAGCCGAGATTACATTGCGACTTTAAAACATTATGGACTGCCAGTGCTTATCGAAGTGGATTCATCCGGTGTGATGACTCTCGATCAAATCATAACGGTCACTGAAAAAAATATTTCTACACTTTGCGCCATGGTTCCTAAAACTATTCCAAACGCCAGTTCTCCAGTAGGTATTAAAATAAAACCCAAGCTGAACGACGAGTTGGAGGAAAGAAGGCAAACATTACTGACCGGAGCGTCTACTACGTTGACGCAACAACATATATTACACGTTATGTCGACATCTGCACTCGCCGGTGCTGCTGCGATGTTACATTGTTTACCACCATCTCCACAACCACTTAATCCAGTGGTAAAACCACTGATGGAGGCTATAAAACGCGAAGAAAATGAAGAACTCCAAAAATTAGCTGCAAAACATTTAGCTCGTTTAGTAGATACGTGCGTCGACAGAAAGCCATCGCCGAACATAAAGGTAAAGATACAAAATTTATTTTACAATAGACTTCTAGTTATGCTACCTATATGTACGCCTCGGAATATTTGATTGAACCAGTAATGTAACAAAGTAAGATTTTATGGAAGATTTGAAGAAAACAAATCATAAGCAGTATATAACATACTATAAATATCCTCGGGGAAGACTGTAAAAGTTTAGTGGAATATCCACTGAAATTAGGAGAAAAAGAAATCCTTTCTAAAATGAACAAATTTATGTAACGTTAAACTTGTTAAATATGATTTTGAGCCGAATGACGATCCTAGTTCGTCATACTTTAATGTAAAACATGCCATTTAGCATTACTTGTCAAAAGTATCTAAATGGTTGGTCTAAACAATGATCTTTTGTCCACTGCAGATTTCCACCAATCTTTGCGCGTTTCTGTGTTCTGACGTGGAATTTACGCCGCGGGTTTCTGGCAACATAGACGCAGACGTAATCGACGGAATACTTACCTTGAATAACAGACAAAAGCAGGCTGAGAGATTAGCATACAATCGCGGTACAAGTGGCGGACTCGGAAGCACTAGGGGACCAGGTAGACCGCCAACGACTGAAATCCCACTGGAGGAACTGCTGTCTTGCGAGGAACCAGAAGCCAAAGCCGCCAGGACGCGTCGTCGAGGAGCTACGTTCGCATTGACAGCCATAGGTATAATGGATACTCTTGGATTTTTTGGACGCGCATTAAGCTCGTATCAAATGGCATATTAGAGATTGATGATTTCAAATTAAAGATTGAAAATTGGAATAAAGCGAATCAAGGTTGAAATCAGTTGATTCATCGAGCTATAATCTCAAATTCGCAATATTAAAGATCTCACTATCTCCCATTAACTTAATCGGTCGATTATTCTACTGAAACTGACCAATTGCATTTATCATTCAGTAGAATTGTCTAATCGTGGTTGATACTTAATCGGCCGATTATGTTAATCGGAAGTGATGAAACTGACTCCTAGTCTCCAATATCTAGTCTGATACACATTTTAGTTAATTTTTGGAGCTCTTCATTTCGTGATTGACTATTATTTAATTCAAATCTCTCTCGACACGCGTTGCACATTTCGACCGATTTTTGACTTACTCCGCCTAGCGCTGTTCCCTTTCATTATCGTGCGCTATCTTCGAGCCGCTCGAGACTCAGAAGCGCATGACTTGTAAATATATGTTTCTAAAGCTTAATCTACAATGTGCTGTTTGTTTCTTGTTTCTTGTTATCTATTTTTTTTTTTAACTAAAACTTAATCTACAATGTGCTCTTTGCTTACTGTTTCTTATTATCTGTCTTTTTTTGAATTTAGACTTGAGATTTGAGTCAGACATTAAGAGAAAGAAAGAAGAAGCAAAGAACACATTGCATAGATCAAGCTTAATAGTTTTCCACTATTGGAAATATATGTTTGCAAGTCATACGCTCTTTCGAGCAGCTCAGTTTGCACGCGGGATGATGAAATAAAAAAAATAGCGCTAGGTGGAGGAAGTCGAAAATATACATTGCGTGTCGAGTTCTAGTTTGATTTATACGCCATTAATGTTGCAAACACTTAAGCCGAATATGTTTTAACACTTTTAACATTGTTCTTATAGCTGATTTTTTCGGCCCTCAATTACCGTCCCGTTTGCCTCATTTGTGGGAACTAATAATGGCGAGTTTGTTAAAAGACGTTAAGAACACCGAACAAGAGAACAGAGTCGAGGAGGAAGGAAACCAATTGATCTTCGGTTTACAAGTCTTAGAAACCATTGCACCGAGTTTAAATAAGTTGATTTTACCACCAGCACTAGATCGTCTGCCACATTTGTGTAGTTTATTAGCGCATCCGTACAAAGCGGTCAGGCATATGGCGGCACGATGCGTAGCCACATTAGCGAAGCTAAGCACAGAGAAGGTAATTTTCTTTTCTTTTCTTCATTTTCTCTTTATTCCCCATCTTCTCATATATTCGTAGTGTCATGTGTTGACGAGCGCATCAATAAACATAATTTAAATAAAACTTTTCCTCAGACAATGGCACATGTAATACGCTCTGTCATACCAATGTTGGAAACGAGCGGCGGCGAGAAGAAAAATCCCGCGGGCACCGTGACACCAAACAAAGTCGATTCAGTACGTCAAGGAGCGGCTGAAGCATTAGCTTGTCTTGTTGAAAGTTTAGGGGTGCAGGTGGTACCGTACGCTGTGCTTTTCATGGTACCGTTACTCGGACGTATGAGCGATCAAAATCAATCAGTGAGATGGATCTGTAGCGCGACGTTTGCTACACTCGTTCAATTATTACCGTTAGATCCTGGGGCGATCGCTGATCCGCCAAATTTAGCGTACGTTAATACTTATATATATCTATATTTTACAACAAAAAAAGTTGTAAGGTTGTAAAAAACTTACAACTATATTTGCTACAAACTTTAAATTAATTTAATAAAACTAAAAAAAAGTCATTACGCTATTATTTAATATTGTTACTAAAAGATATTATTAAAAATCGAGAAACAAAATGGTTTTCAACGTATAATAATTTTTTTATTAATTGTCCGCGCACATTAAAAGTCCGATAATCGTAATATTGCAGCGCTAAAATATAATTATATCTTCTCGTTAGTAGAATACCGCAACTAACATTTACGATTGACTCTGATTAGTCTCTTTACTTTGGTTAATATTTGGAAGTAGTAGGTATCCTATAAAATTAGATGAATAAGAACCTCGTCATTAAATATTTGGCGTAAAAATTTTTTAAATTAACCGAGAAAGGATAAACATATACGTCGTGTGTTAAAACGACTTTGAATTCCGATTTTACTGATTAATTAACTATTATTTAAGGCTCCTTGTACACAGAGTCACAAAATGATTTGGACGCATTTCGAGCACTGAAATTACAGCGCTTCAAGATGTCAGAATTGAAAGGCACTGCTGACACATTTGCATATAAATCGGTTATGACAAAAGTCAAAGTTACAATACAAAGTATGAAAATAAATGTAAGGTAACGTGAAGACATGTTAATTCATGTTAATATACCTTGTACTGTCACTTTGATTCCTGTAATAACCGAATCATATGCAAGTGTGTCAGCAATGCCTCTTACATTTGACATTTGGAAGCGTTGCAACTTTAATGCATGAAATGCGTTCGCAGGCTATGCCAAGTTTATTCAGAAGCGAGAAATGACATGAGAAATGACGAAAGTTGCGTGCCATTTCTAAATAAAGATAAACATGGACGAAAGAGTATTTAAGATTGCTTGAGTACATTTGTAAAATTATCAGAAAGGCATCTCTTTATCCTGATGATCAATAAATAATTGTATAATAAATGGTAAAATTATGAAATAAGTTTGTTTTGTCTGCATGTCACCATTTATTATATGACTATTTATTAATCATCAGGGAAAAGGGATATCTTTCGAAGAATTTTACAAGTACGCTCAAGCAATCTTAAGTGCTCTTTCGTCTATATTTATCTTTATTTAGAAATGGCACGTAAATTTCGTCAGTATATGTCGTTCCTCGCTTCTGACATCACAAATTCAACATGGCGAGGTATAAGGAGCTTAAATATTATTAAATTATTATTAACATCTTTTTCCTTATCATTAATTGAAGTAGTTTCTATCTTACGAAGATTATTTGCCTCATCCGGAAAGATTTAATGTGTACACACTTCATCAAAATAGCTTTAACATTTTTTCTATATAATATCGCTAATAAGGAATTAATTCGAGTAGGTTTCTTTTTTTTTGTAAGCTTAGCTGGATAATAGATATAATTAATTAGCGCTTAGTTAAATAATAAATATAATTAATTAGCATATTAAAATAACGCACTAATTCCAAAATAATGTCGAAAACAGAGTTCCCTAAAATCACTGTGCGTGTAAAGTCAATCTGTTAATGGTGACTTATACATTTGTGTAGCATATGATTAGATAGGGCAAGCCCTTCTCATGATGTATCTAACGATATTGCATTACAGGCAAGAGAAGAGGCAAGAGCGATTGTTCTTGGAACAGCTGTTGAATCCACGAACCATTCCGGACACGGATCTGCCAGTTCCTGTAGCCGCGGAACTGCGTTCTTATCAACGTCAAGGGTTGAATTGGCTCAACTTCTTAAACCGTTTTCACCTCCACGGTGTATTGTGCGATGATATGGGTCTTGGCAAGACGCTGCAGACTCTTTGCATGTTAGCGTTGGATCATTATCGCAATGCAGATGCGCCACCCAGTTTGGTAGTATGTCCGCCGACTCTTACCGGTCACTGGGTCTATGAGGTGGAAAGATTTTTCAAAACAAACGATCTGACGGTAATCCATTTCGCTGGGCCACCACAGGAACGCGAGAAACTGCGTCCTATAGTTATGAATTACAAACTCATAGTCGTGAGTTATGACATCGTACGAAAGGAAACCGAGTTCTTCGAGGGGCGTCAATGGAATTATTGTGTACTTGATGAAGGTCATATAATAAAGAACGGAAAAACAAAGAGTGCGAAGGCCGCCAAACGGTTGCACGCCAATTACAGACTCATACTATCCGGAACACCTATACAGAACAATGTGCTCGAATTGTGGTCTCTGTTCGATTTTTTGATGCCGGGTTTCCTTGGCAGCGAGAAACAATTCGCAGCGAGATATTCCCGTCCTATCTTGGCGTGCAGAGAACCCAAAGCAGGACCAAAAGAACAAGAGGCTGGCGCTTTAGCTATGGAAGCTCTTCATAAACAGGTAATTTCGATAAAAATCGTTTGTCATGCTTTACAATATTTCACTTCACGCATACAGAATATCTAAATTTAAATACAGCACTTTCTGTGTGCATTGAAATGAATAGAAAAATATATGCCATTTTTCATATCATTTAATATCTTTATTATTAAAATATCAAAGAAGATTGAAAAATGTGAATGTATGTGATGTGATGGGACGCGCACGCGCGAGCTTTATAGGGTGCGTTCAAAAATCCACTCTAAAAATAGAGCAGTATTCAATTAATCAATCATAATACGGAAATCTTAATTCTTTTTATCCCGATTGGTCAATTATATGTTACTCTACCTTCGAGTACGATTTCTGAACGCACTCTAGGGCTATCTGAAGAACCATATCTTGGACTTGTTTGCTATCTCCTAACAAGATAGATATCGATAGTGAATTACTTCTAATATTGTGACTAATGAGTGGTCAAACATTACATATAGCTATATCTATATAGCTATATTATCAAAAGATCAGAAATCTCTTGAGACTACCTAAGTTTGTCTCACTCCATTACATACACTCACACGTTCGCCAATTTTCTTTAAATTATAATAAAGACGGCATATAAAAAATAAATATTTAAAAAAGATTCAGGATTTTCTTGTTTGGATGCGTTCCACTTACATATGGCTAGTGTCATACTTAAATTCGAGTACTCTGTGTCAGTACATCGATATAATATAAATATAACATCTATAATATAAACAGCAAGTATTAGATCACGGTGGAAATTTTGTCTGCAGGTACTACCATTTTTACTCCGTCGAAACAAGGAAGATGTATTGCAAGATCTGCCACCGAAAATCACGCAGGATTATTACTGTGACCTATCGCCCTTGCAGCGAATGCTCTACGAGGACTTTCGCACGCGTCATTCAGCTGCATTCACATCTACTACGTCAACTTCTTCATCTTCGAACGACTCCCACAACAGTCATGTATTCGAAGCGCTGCGATATCTACGTAACGTGTGTAATCATCCCAAATTGGTGCTCGATCCACGGCATCCTATGTATCAAGCGGTGCGTACATGTTGCATGAATGATTCTTATTGTATAGTGCTATTTTGATTGATACATATAGCAAGCAGTAATTTTCTATTATAATATTTCAATTTCGGCGATGCATGTAAACAATGGCGTGACAAGCGATACGCATTGTATCAATTTAACGCACCATTGATTATACACATTACTGAAATAAAAATAATTCAATATAAAATTACTTAGTTAATACGCGTATTGAACGATCGGTGCAAACAAAACGTACGTACTGTATTGTATTCAATCACATGTTCTGTGATATTTCCAGGTATGCAACATAATGAAGCAACAGCAAAATACTCTGGCGGACATCGAGCACGGCGCGAAGCTACCCGCTCTCAAGCAATTGTTACTGGACTGCGGTATCGGACAACAACAGAACCAACAAGCTCGCGGCAATTCGTCGACCGCGAGCACAGAAAGCACACAGCAACAACAACTAGTTAGCCAACATCGCGCCCTGATCTTCTGTCAATTGAAAGCGATGCTGGATATCGTGGAAAAGGATCTGTTACGTATGCATCTACCAACAGTGACGTATCTACGTCTGGACGGAAGTATACCCGCGGCGCAGCGGCACTCTGTTGTGACGCGTTTCAACGCCGACCCGTCCATCGACGTTCTCTTATTAACCACCCAAGTCGGCGGTCTCGGTCTCAACTTAACTGGCGCAGACACAGTTATATTCGTGGAGCACGACTGGAACCCGATGAAGGATCTGCAAGCTATGGACCGCGCGCATCGTATAGGCCAGAAAAAAGTAGTCAATGTGTATCGCCTGATCACTAGATCAACGGTAGAGGAAAAGATCATGGGATTGCAGAAGTTCAAACTTCTTACGGCGAATACGGTGATCTCGGCGGAGAACGCTTCGTTGGACACGATGGGCACCGATCAGGTAAGTTGGAACAATATTTTGTATCGTCTATCGTCTAATCTTCCGAAATACTTTAAGGTATATAACTGATGTATAATCTGTTCAGTTGTTAGACTTATTTACACTGGATAACGAGAAAGACAAAAGATCAAAACGTCATCACGAAGATACCGCAGGCCTATCGGGCGTCAGTCGTTCTATATTGGATATTCTACCTGAACTCTGGGGAGAACAGCAATATGAAGATGAATATGATCTCGACTCATTTTTGTCTACTCTGAAGGCTGATAGCCAGTAAGCTTGTACCTCGACAATTTGTTGAGCGTATATGTGTAAATTAGGGCACAGTACATTTTTCGCATACCGTTGTAGCTCCAAGTTCGATGCGAGATATCAAGTGAACTCTAAGGGAGACAGGGTGACGGTAAAATTTAGAAATTGGAAGCTGAGACAGTAATTAAAATTAATACTAAAACTTAATTTTATGTCGATATAATCGTTATCGATATGATCGACAAAATGTCTCAACTTTTTATGAGTACTTTTAAACACAACAGTACATTTGACCCTATATCTGATTAGGTATAAACGCAATTAAACGACTGCAATTACGAGAAAGTTCTGTAAATATGTGAAATGAATAAATGACTTTTATAAGGGCGATTCGATGTTAATAAAATGATATTTGCATATAGAATTAACTGACATATAGTATTGACTGAAAAAGGAGAACCAAGAAAGAAAAGTGAACTACGAAGAACGGCGCTTAGGCTGTATCTTCGCGTGAATGTCGATGCGTGAACGTCGACATTTGCGAACTATTTGTTCTTTTTCTTCTTTTTTTTTTTCTTCAATCGTTCCAATTTCTAGACCAATTTACTGCCACTCGTACTTTCAATAATAATAAAAATTTAATCCGATTGTGAATCCTTGGTTGCGTATGATATGCTAACGCTTCATGCTTGACAATGAATTGTTGACGAATTACGACACATCGCAGGTACCAAAAGCAACCATGTCGCGTCACTTGGATATTAAGAATTACGTATGATTAAGAATTATGCGTCCTCATTACATAAAATAATGACTGCATTTAGAAAACACAGTTGAGTGAGCATTCACTGTCATTCGTATATTCTTTTAGATTCATCATAGATCTGAAAGAACACCAGTTTATAAGTGCTGCAAAATGCTTGTGTTTTCTAAATGCCTCATTGAGAAAGTTGACACACTTGTACCTAACTGTCCAACAATAGCAAGTAGAGATAGATTAAGGTATCTTATAAGTGAGAGCGAAAGAGAGTGTTTTCGTTTAGTTGTAATAATTTATAAAAATGCCGATACAATTACAATTCCGCATTTGTACCAAAACGTCGTCACGGTGCATAATTATTTATAATATAAACTAGTCTCTCTCTTTTTTTTTCTACACCATCATGATAAATCAGTATACGACAATACCACTTGTCTCTTACTATTCACTTTTTTTTCCGTTAAGTCATAAGAATAACAATTTTTTTCCCCATTCTTTGATACGATACTGGGTTTCCTAGTCACGTACCGCCGCTATCAGATAGCGTAAATAGCATACCTAGCGCTCACAGTTTCGCTTTGTACATTACATCTATATTGCCCGCCCCGAATATATTATGCGGATCCAAATGTGCTTTGGTCGCACGATAAAGGGAAACACCCGCTTCTCCGACGGCCTCGGGATAAAACTGCGCCCGTAACTTGCCGATGCCGTGGTGATGCGACAGAGAGCCGCCACTTGCGAGTATCTCTTCTCGTGCCGAGCACTCGATAGCCTCGTAAACCTCGACCGGGTTCTCCAGATTCGTGTACTTGAACGCCATATAGAAGTACACGCAGCAGCCTGCGTCGTAAGTCTGCGTGACGCGACAGGAGATAAGATATTTGCGTATGCCGTGCGCCTCGCAGTCCCTGGCCACGCGTGACTTGACATTTCTGCACAACGACAACGTGCGGTTCCAAGAAACAGAAGTCTCGAACGACTCCGCTAATACGTTAAATTCGAGTGCGAGGTCACGAATGTATCCGATCACGAACGTCATCATGTATCCGCGCTCGCCATTGGTCTCACCACCCGAAACACCGCCGTGCTTCTCGGCAATATTGTAGATTTTCCGTTCCTGTGCCGCGACGTCCGCCGCCGCGTTGCCTTCCATCATCAGCGTGGCCATGCATATCTGATCCCACTGGAAACCCTTTATACCGGTGATATACATATGCTTCAGGCTTTGCAGTATCGTGTTGATCCAACCAGATTCTGGACGTAGCGCATAGCCGAGCTGGAACTGCTCGTTGTCCATTAAACGTATGCTGGACGGCTGACATCGTTCTTTCGCGATCTATGTTATTTAGAAAATCTTTATATATTGTGTATACTTTGCGTACAATGAAGGACCGTGCTCCTTTATGATATTGGTGATGAAACCGATCTTACACAGCGGTTATTCATATTTTTTGTGTACTGGACGAGAATGTTAAGTAAAAGAAACACGGTCCTCTCGTCTGACCCGCCATTCAAAAGCCGCCAAAGTCATACAATAAAGTAATATACGCACTTCTCGAAACGCGTGAACACCGCTTTGGAAATTCGGGAACACAATGCTGCCGTACTTCACCACCCGCGGTAATGGTCTGATCTTCATTACGACCTCTGTAACGACTCCTAGAGTGCCCTCGCTGCCGAGAATCATGTGATCGAAATCTGGCCCGCAGGATGCACGAGGCACTAAACTGCCTCTCTCCAAAGTGATAACAGGATCATCCGTTCTCCCGGTGACCATACGCACTCGCATGACTAGGTCCTCGATGTTGCCGTACGTGTTTTTCTTCATGCCGCTTGCCCTGGTCGCCACCCATCCGCCTAAACTGTTTGAGAAGAGAATTAGCTTCCGTTTCGAAAGATGTAAGTCTTTTACGCGTGTAAATGTATTCGTAAACGCTAACCACAATTCAAGGCTAGAATGCACATGCGTAAACAGACACGTGTTTTAAATATGAATAATTATTAAGCGTAGACGTAATGTGATATGTGTATTCTAATGCAACTTTCACTCTGAAGGTATTTATTATTTCGTATCACTTCAGTATTTCTAAAGTTGTGAGAACTATTCGAATCGAATCACGGTAAGATTGAAATCCTCTCTATTTGAAAATTTTGTTTCCTTTCGGAAATTTAAATACAGATCTGGCATATTGGCACAATTTTGGGAAGCCGTATTTCCTGCTAGTGAGTTAACGTGAGTTATATTTGGGCCTCTCTACTTGCCAAATCTTAAAAGAAATCAACATAGAATTAAATAATTAAGAAAAGGTAGTGAAGTTCTCACATCATAAAGATTTGGGACAGTTTGACATGATTCATTGTGTACGTTGCAAACTTGGAGAAATATTCGGCGTGTAATTACACGTTCAAACGTTATTATTTAGTTATAATAATTAATCGCATTAATATTTAATGACTGGCTTCTATAAATTAGTCATGTTATTAATCATGTTGTTGATTAAAAATTAAAATTCCATTCAACACGGAAAATTTTTGATTCGCACATCTCTAAGGGCTAATTTTTTAGTAGCAATTTAAATTTCGATTTAAGTTTTTAAATTCTATTCTAATAATGTATATATTTGATATACTTAAACAGAGTTTAAATCTATGTTTAAAGTGTTACTGAAAAACTGACCTATTTCGTGTTATAAACAACAATTTCATAAAAATAGCTTGTACTTTATAATTAAATATACCCTTTAGAATATTTCAATTCTATTATGTAATGTATAGTATATAATGTATAGTATATAATGTATAGTTTGTATTTTTAAACATTCTGTAGTGTTAAAATACAGTTTTCTGCGGTTCTTTTGTTCAGTCCTAAGTAATTATGAAGAAATACAAAAAATATACAGATCGTTAGTTAACATTAATTATACTCTAGAGCTTTCGTTCATAGCAATAAAAGTAATTTTAACAATTAGATTTCTATAAGAGAACTTTGCTCTACTAAAATATTAAGTAATAAGGATAAATACGGTTCGCGGCAAACAACTCGTCTTTCGGTGAATATTTGAAATATTCCATATTTCGAATAAATAAAACATTAAACGTAAATTCTAAACGATTTGTAAGACGCGTTTTCTTATTATCAAAGATGAAATTATTAAGTAACTGCTTAAAATATCGACGTCTTCGTCGCAAAAAATCCTACAATATCATTTATTAGCATCTTTAACCCTTAGTGGCCCTACATGAGTATTTCGAGTCCGGACGGTTTCTATTCGTAGAAATTTCTCAGCATGTTGAGGGTCCCGGATTTTCTATCTCCTTCTAAAAAATGCACATTGAAGTACAGGTATTTGTTCTAAAAACTTGAAAGTATATCCGTGAATTTTTACAAATTTTTCGAATCACTTTAAAGATATGATAAAAGGGCCGGACTCGAAAAACTCATGTAGGGCCACTTGTAGTTTTTCATATAAGCCACTAAGGGTTAAAAAGATATTTTGCATAATAATTCATATAACATTCTTAACCACATTCTACGCCTAGAGTTGTCTTTTTTACGTCGCCGCACCGCGAAACTTTTATTACACCTGTTTCTGTTGTATAATGTGTGTCGGTGAACGAAGCCAATTTTATGTAAGATCGAACTCAACTCATTTTATGTGAGAATCCAAATGTCTGCAATAAAATGTTAAACATACTGCATATTGTGTATGTACCTAGAGAATTCGTAAGAATCGGGTTCGTGGCCGCTCGTGAATCCTTGGAGACGGAGTTGCCGTTCCAGGTCCTGGCCGATGATGCCCGATTCGCAGCACACCAACAGATTGTCCCTGTCTATCCATAATATCCGATTCATTTGCGACGTGTCTAATGAGATTATCGTCCGGCGTTCATTCGCGGAGCAATACACCGCGCCGCTGACGCTGGTTCCACCGCCAAAAGGTATACAGGCTGCCCCATATTGCGCGCATAAATAGACGATTCTAACGACGTCATCGTGACACGCTGTAAGTGTATGATAATATTATTGGAGAATATTGCCTATTATGCAAACAAGAAAAGTTAATCTCTTGATATCTCCGCTTACGCAATGCTTACCACGATGAATGTACATTTAAATAAATTAAGTCATGTGCAAAAATAAATAAGAATATAGCAAACGAAAAACTAAACTTTAAACGAGTCAAGTATTCGCTTTGACCTGAGTAAGTAGTCCATATCGATTACTTTTGTTGGAACTCGTGTGTCGAGTATAATATTGAATTATTTCTGTAAAAGACTTGTCATACATTTCACACATCGCATTCTAACGATTTCTTCTTAACGTTAGGCCGTTTAAAGTATACATATGTGCTTAGATCATTTTAAAATTAACTAAATAAAAACAAAATGAAAATATATAAATCTATTTGAGATAAAATTAAGATTATTTCGTTCTGAAAGTATGCGGATAAAAAATGAATTTATATGGTAATTTATCTATAGATAATTTCTAGATTATATTGTTTTAAAATTTATAAACACACAGTTATAAAAAGTTATTTATGTAAAATTTATGTAAAACAATCATTTATGTAAAAACAATTAAGAAAAAATATTGCAATTGAGAAAGTATGTAAAAATATATATTCATATATTATATGATCATCATATGATATATTTTTGTAAAATATATATAAGAACAGTTTTTTTATATGTAATATCCGTTAATTTCTGAGAATAATATAAATTTACTGTTACTTTGTTCTGAATATAAACTAATCGTAATATAATCTAAATCTCAATGCAGTCTAATATAGGTTTTATACGGTTTTATACGGTCTGATGTGCAAAAACATCCATGATGAGAAAGCAAATATTTTAAGATTTTACACATTTGCAATAATGTATTCTATATTATCTAAACGTCATTCTAAATAATTCGATAAAAATAATATTTTTTTCTGTCTAAAATGTAAAAATGAAAATAATATATATTTTTATTATCTACACATCATACAGTACAGAAGTTTCAAAAAGCTTTCAGAAAGGTTTCAAAAACATTAAAACTTTTTTGAGATCTTTCTGAAATCTTTTTTAAACTTTTATGCTGTATAGGACATCCCATTAATAAATTCCATTAATAAATGGGAGGCGAAATTGAATTGTGTAATAAAGTATTAAGAAAGAAAATGGAAGGCGCGCGCGTAGCGCGCACTGCATACTAGTCCCATTAATAAATGGGAGATGAAACGCTATGAATTTGTCTATCGAAATTATCGAAGAGGTGAAGTTTCTTTTTTGCGATGCCGATTGGCTGTTCGCAGGCGGCTGTTCGCAGATTCGCGCTGCATGCAGCTGTCAGTCGCAGCGGTCAAACAGATCAAAGGTTGTGTTGAGATTGTCTCGAATGTAAATGCAGATTATGTAATAAAGTACTAAGAAAGAAAATGGGAGGCGCGCACGTAGCGCGCGCTGTGTGCTAGTAAAGATAAAATGCCGTAAAAATTTCATCTGGATGATCATTTACATAATTTTACCTAAAGAAGAGCAAATACTACATATATAGAAAAATATAATTTTAGTGCTAAGAAAAGCGATTATATATATATATATATTCAATTTACTTTCCTTCTTCTAAATAACAATTATTTTTTACAAGAAATATTTTCTTAATAATAATCTTAAAATATACTTATCACAAAAAAAGAATTTATTCTCTTTACGCGCGCCCGTACTCACACACACACACGCACATACGAACGCACGCACACATACACATACAGCAGAGAGGTTTTAGGTTATTAATTACTATGAAAATGACAAAGTCCTTATCTTTACTAACACATACACACACACGATGTGTAAAACCTCCGGCAATCTCCGCGTGGTACACATTGGGTAATGCTAATACCGGCGGTAAATATCACTTTTCAGAAAAATGTAAAGTTTTCTTCAAGGTCACGTAACTTGGTCAAAAGAAATTGTAAGGAAATGTAAACAAAACGTTTTGTAGGTAAAATACTATACTTTTCGAATGTAAGGACTTATATTACATGTTTCATGAAAAATTTTTTCATCGAGCTATGGATTGTCAAAGATACTTAATTTTAAGGAACAAAACATTATGTTCATTTTTAAAGCATAGAACGACAAAGATAAACAAATTTTTTTAATTATCAATAAGAAAGAATTGCTTTAGAATTGCTTTCAAGTTTCAAAATGATTTTTTCATTTTTCATCTACGATGATTAGTTGATTAATATGCTGAACTTATTAGAATTGAAGAGATATTTAGAGAGAGAGAGAGAGAGAGAGAGATGTTTATGATAAAAAAGTTTATGATAAATTTGCGAATATATAAACTTATGAAATACTGGAAACAAGTAATATTTACTTGAATGTACTATGTATTTTTCTCTCTGCGCGTATATGTGTGTATTTATGTGCATATTGAGTAAAACGCAATATCACGTCGTCTATTATTTTTAATTCAAGTTAGTAAAGGTTCGCTAATAACACAATGAAATTGCATGAAAACAGTAATTAAATAGGTAGAATAGTGTCATACCACTGACTGCAGGCTTGCGAAATCAAATCCAACGCATGAAGGAGATACTCATTTACAGTTGTTTTTTTCCTTTGTATAGTTATATAGTCCTTTGTAAAGTTATATGATTAAATCCAGGGTATCTGGTAACTCACGGAGGAGCCGTGATGTAAGTAGATTGGGTCAAACTGAACAAAAAATCCTTTATTATTTTCCAAATAACTACGTACGTGTTTAGTTATTAATTAAAGAAAATTGGTGTACAATAATGTTGTCCACAATAATGCATCAATCTTCTTTAATTAAGATTAATGGTCATTTGGAAAATGGTACTGGACTGTTTTGTTCAGTTTGATCTAATACACAAGCATACAGCGGTAGACGTCGCTATCATAACTCATCTATGACGCGTGATCATTCACGAATCTTCTTTAAGATTAATAATTCAAAATTTTACGTAGTTATTCAAAAAATAGTAAAAGAACTTTTTGTTCTGTTTGATCTAATCTACCTATACACCGCCGTATAGGACTCCGTGAGTTATCTCGTATATAGAAAAAGGCTAAGCGCAAAATACCGTGTACAAAAAGTTTAATGCAAATGATATTAATATTAAAAGGGAAGGTGGCCTGTGTAAGTATACTGATCCTTCTTATTTGCTATTAAGTGACAGATTCCAGAAGTGACTTATGTAATTATTAGCTTAGTGGGCTGCCATTACGCTAGTGCTATTAAATCAATAGACAACAGCTGGAATTAGTTACGACACATTTTCATTTCGGAGTATTTCTGAACATTCTCAAAACATAGCATTTAATTATACATATTTCCTTATCCTTCTTAAACTTGGGCGTATTATCATACAAATATATAACACTTCAGAGTATTTTGTTCGTTATTTAACATTTTATTCAGCTGTATATATTTCGAGTTAAACAAAGTTGAATAATAGCATGGAATTTTGCTAATATAGTCCTCTAAGCTCATGCTGATAATATTGTTAATGATATACCTTTTTTTCGAGTTTTTTTTTGTATCGAAGTATTTGATGAGCTAATTATACTAGTTTACAAATTTCGGTCAACTTTTGTATTAGAACAGCTGATAACTTTTTTAATTAAGATAATTTTTCACGCTGAATTCAAATTCGACGCCAAAATTTTTGTAGGTCGTCAGGTTTTTGAGATATCGCCAGGTGGCAGTACCGTCGTGTCGTTATGGTGACGGCTCATTTTGACAGCAAATTGTTTGAAGCAAATTCATTGTGCCCGTGTTTTTTCAGCTTATTTCAATAACAAAAAATGTCGAATAGAGCGTGTAAAACAGATCCGAGTTTTTTTTGCTACATTTGTGGGGAGTATATAGTCGCGAAGAAGAGCTACGCAATCACAGAGGCGCTCAACCCTTATAGAAATATCATACTAAGAATCATTGATAATTACTTATTATCCAGTATTTTTAATACTGAAAATAAGTAATTATCAATGATTCTTAGTATGATATTTCTATAAGGGAAACTGTCATATTTGCACTACTTTGGTTTTGCTGTGGGCAATCTGGACAAGCCATGGATACCGAGAATGTTTTGTAATGCTTACAGAACAAAGCTATATCGGTGGTCGACGGGCGAAAAAATCTATTTGTCATTCAAAGATCCAGTCATTTGGAGAGAGCCGTTACGATCACGTAACGGACTGTTACTTCTGTATGACTAAAGTAACCGGAATATCTAAAAAAACTCGACAAAATGTGAAATATGCGAATGTTTTATCGGTCACAAAGTCGGTTCCACGCAGCCTAAAAGATCCATTGCCGGTTTGTTCGGATATATCCAGCCCAGAGTCTGAAGAAATCACACCAGCAGAAAGCAGCGGAAGCGAATTCACGATGAGCAAAGTGCATTTAATTACACAAGCTGAATTGAACGATTTGGTTCGCGATTTGCATTTATCGAAGCAAAACTCTGAATTCCCTTATAGAAATATCATACTAAGAATCATTGATAATTACTTATTTTCAGTATTAAAAATACTAGATAATAAGTAATTATCAATGATTCTTAGTATGATATTTCTATAAGGGTTACTGGCATCACGACTACAACAGTAGAAATATCTGTCAAGCAAAACGAAAGTCACCTATTTCAGAAACAGGAATGCCGAACTCATTACATATTTCAACAAAATAGACCAGATCTGTTTCTGCACTGACGTTCAAGGTTTATTTCAAAAGATGAACCAACCATACGACAAAAATGAGTGGCGACTGTTTATTGATGAGGAGGGGCAACGGTGGAGACGGGCATACATAGATAGCAGGTGTTAAAGGATAGCAACCTTTGACTTTGAGAGACTGACAGCTGTACTATTTGGTACAGTAACATTGTTTCTCTCTGTAGTCGCCGTACGCTCGAGATCGCGTCAGAGATGTCGCTTCCGAACGACATCTCTGAGCGTTATCTAGGAAGAGGAGAGTGTCGTGAGCGTGGAGCGTCAGGGAGCTCAGTGATTTAGAGCAGTCGTCCGGCAAGCGAAAGACCTGGGTTTCGAGTCCCGACCTTAGCAGGATATTTTTCGCGCTCTCGATATTTTTCTCTTTCTGGAACGAAAAAGATACGCAGATCTCGAACGCACGGCGTCCCGCCGCCACCTAGTATGCCCTCCTCCTTCTATGGTTCTAAATATAGTTGTTCTAAATATATTGTTCTAAATATAGTTTGAAGGCCACACTCTTGCATAATGGAAATCAAAAGTCATCTATTCCAATCACTCACGCAGTTAACATAAAGGAAACTTACGAGGCAATGGATAAAATATTGTAAGTGATCAAATACAACGATCATAAATAGAAAATATGCGGTGATCTGAAGGTATTTGATCGAATCCAAGCTAGAAATACAGGAATATATTCCTGCATTTCATGACTCATTACACCATTACAGGTTGTCGGCATGTTAACTGGTATGCAAAGCGGCTTTACAAAATACTGTTGCTTCTTGTGTCTTTGGGACAGTCGAGCAACAATGCATCATTACACCAGAACATCTTGGCCAGTGAGACAGCAATTCTCACCTGGAAAACAAAACATTTCAAATAAACCACTTATTGACCCACAAGACGTGTTGCTCCCGCCACTGCACATTAAACTTGGTCTAGTGAAGAACTTTGTCAAAGCACTCGACCGGGACGGACCTGCTTTCCAGTATTTGGCGACAAAGTTTCCAAAAATATCTTCTGCCAAAATCAAAGAGAGAATTTTTGTAGGTCCACAAATAAGAGAATTAATTGATGACAAGCAGTTTTCGCAACATTTGTCAGCCACAGAAACCGCGTGGACGTCCTTCAAAAAAGTTGTCCGTGAATTTCTCGGCAACCGGAAAAGCGATAACTACAGGCAAATAGTTGCGGATCTGCTGGAAAATTATCGTCGAATTGGTGTTCGTATGTCGCTCAAGCTCCATTTCTTACATTCCCACTTGGAGTTTTCCCGGAAAACTTGGGCGAAGTAAGCGATAAGCAAGACGAGCGAATGCACCAGGATATGCGAAGAATTGAATGTAATTACCAAGGTTTTTGGAATCCCTTATAGAAATATCATACTAAGAATCATTGATAATTACTTATTATCTAGTATTTTTAATAATAAAAATAAGTAATTATCAATGATTCTTAGTATGATATTTCTATAAGGGATGAGGGCATGCTCAACGATGACTGTTGGTCCTTATTGCGTGAAACAAACCCAAAACAACACAAGAGACAAAATTTGGCAGCCGTTCACTTCTAAATTTTTGAATAAAATGGGCCATTGTGGCCAAAAACAGCAACAAATGGGCCTTTCATATATCTCGAAAACCTGATGACCTACGAAAAAACGGACTTGGAATCAGCATCGAAAATTACTTTAAAAACACATTTCAGCTGCTCCAGTACAAAACCTATATACCAGTGTTATAATTCTACTGCTAATTTATGATTCACGTTACTGCAATTTTGTTGAAAAAAATAACTGAAGTTAAGTTTAAAAGTCTATTTGTTTTGTTCTAAGAATTTATTTTGAATAAATTTATAAATTTGTAATAAAATACTATTTTTTTAAACAAAACAATTTTGTAAATCTAATTTACTATTTTTATTTATATATACCTCGATGCATTATACAATGTCACCACATTTTTATAAATATCTTCCTAAGTAATAAATATTATGTAAGTTTAAGTCTAAAATTGATTACACAATACTTTAAGAAATATAATATAATATAATCAACGTTGTCCATTAGTGTGTGCATGTACCGTTAGAGAACGTTCTGCTCATATGATTTTAATTTTTTATTATTCATCACGTATTCTATTATGCCAATTTTATACTGTTTATTTGTAGTTTTCCATTCTGACCTCTATTTCTTGACTCTCTTCTAATTGTCTGGAAACTTTTGGGTGAATCGCACTCATTCTTTTGACCATCACTTTTGTCTACCACTAATCACAGACACAATATTCTTGGACTTCTTTTTACAAAGCATTATTTACCATATATATATATATATATATATATATATATATATATATATATATATTTATTTATTTATTTATTTATTTATTTATTTATTTATTTATTTATTAAACATATTTATTTATTTAATTACATATGTCTATACATAAAACAAATACTGTTGAATGAGAAAAGAAAAATATAATTTGATTCTATTAAACGTCGAAATCATGGATTACTACAAACATAAATATTTACTTCAATTTTATTTTCAAAACAGCATTCTTTTCAATGTGAACATATATAATTATATATGATTATATATCGCTATATATGGATAAAATCTATAATATATATCTGTAATCTATACAGGATGTCTGACTCGTACCGTACCAGAGCTAATATATAGCTAGAATAGGTCAAGATGAGTAATGGAATCGGTGTTTTTTTTTAAACAACCACGTAAAATTTCGAATTATTAAATAAAGTTGATAGGCTAATCAGAGCGCGTGATACGGCAGGTGGGACATACGGCTCGCCGCGGTGAAGAAAATGGATGATTGCTCGCGGACCTATTTCATTTGGTAGATGCTACTAAACGGCCCACCTCTCTGACCTATGAGATAGGTTCGCGAGCAATCGTCCATTTTCTTCGCCGGCCGCGACGAGCCGTATGTCCCGCCTGCCATGTCGCCGCGCTCTGATTAGCCCATCTACTTTATTTAATAACTCGAAATTT